GTAAGTAGCTGTCAGTTTTTTTCAGTCAGTGAATTATGTGGTAAAAGATGAATTTAAGTGAAGGGGTTACTGGTATTGCCCCCAAACCAAAATAAAAGCATGTTCACCAATCTGCACATGGTTATATTCCCTATGCTAAGTGCCCAGAGACACACCTGGCTTCAATTGAATACTGACAGCAGTTTCAGGCTTTGCCACAAGAAACATGCTAGCTTTTTAAAAAAATTCACAACATTTAGCATAGAAATCAAGCTAAAGATTTCATTGAGTATTTTATTCCTTCTTTGACACTTTCCTACTAAAAACTATCCTTCTCTTAAGAGCAGCAAGCTTGTATGTCCTTAGAGAGCAAGAAGGTAACATTAAAAAAGAAGTTCAGGTAGAAGAAAAATGTTGATAGAAGCATAAATACAAGATAGAGTTTGCCTTCCTCTTTACTCTGAGCATAGCAGTTGTACAAGCACAATGACAAATGGCCACTGAAACCAGCTTTGCATCAGGGGAGGCAAAAGGGAGTGATGGGCACTGTGGAAATCAGGATTGAGAGAGCATACTGAGTCCAAAGACACAGAGCTGCTCAGGTCTCTGTACGGGTTCTAGGTTGCTAAATTGCCACTTTGTCAAGAGAACCTGCAAATCCAGATTTTCACCTGAAGTCTCCTAATTTCTTTAAAAATTTTAATTGTGGTAAAAAAACATAAAAATTAAGATGGTAACCATTTCTAAGCATACAGTTCAGTAACATTAAGTATGGTCACATTGTTGTGCAAACAATCTCCAGAACTTTTCATCTTGTAAAACAAACTCTGTACCTATTAAGCAACAACTCCCAATTGTCCCCTCCGCTCAGCCCCTGGCAATTATTATTCTACTTTTTGTTTCCATAATTTTGACTACTCTAGATTGCTCACATAAATGGAATCATAAGAGTATTTGTCCTTTTGTTACTGCACTTAGCATAATGTCCTCAAGGTTCACCCATGTTGTAGCATGTGTAGGAATTTCCTTTCTTTTTAAAAAGAAGTAAAGCTGAATAATATTCCCTTATACATATATGCCACATTTTGTTTATCAGTTCAATCACTGATGGACACTTGGGGTCCTTTCTACTTCTTGGCTATTGTGAGTAATGCTGCTATGAACATGAGTGTGCAAATATCTGTGTAAGTCTCTGCTTCCAGTTCTTTTGGATGTATATCCAAAAGCAGAACTGCTGGATCATATTTTAATTCTATGTTTAATTTATTGAGTAACTGTCATACTATTTTCCCATTTCAACTGCACCATTTTGCATTACCATGAACAGTGCACAAAGGCTCCTCTTTCTCCGTATCTTTGCACCTGATTATCTAATGCTTGCAACTAATTCAAAGTTTTTTTCAAAATACCACTCATCCACACAGTTCAGGCCAAGCAAACAGTGTCTGTAACCTGGAAGGGTCCTGTGCACAGAGACAGATGTCTACAAACCTCTGGCAGAAGGCATGGTTCTCAGTCCCCATGCATATGCAGTGATTCTGGATGACCTAACGTGTCAAGGGTGATGCCTGCACATTACACAGCTCTGCAGAGGAATGCCTCTCATCACTGTTCTTCCATGGAAGGAAACAATACCCTAGGGCCACAAGCTGACTTCATGACATTTGATAGTAACAGGAAAGAAATCAAAGGAAAAGATTTTGTGTTCCTAAATCTGGTTCATGTATACCCAGAATTCCTGGTCAAGTTCATCTAGGAAAAACAGTGTTTCTCTAAGCAAAGGTATATAACTCTTCTGCTAGTCTTTGGTGGATGTTGACTGAATTGCGTCTAACAGTTGACACAGAGGGAAAATGCTGCTTTCCTAGTCCATCTTCTGCTTTCATTTTATGACTAAAACTTGTATTTCTCAAATTCTCTGAAGCCCCATGGCAATAGAGCACAGTGTTAATGGATGGGTTTAAATTTGTTTTGTCACCTGAGGAAAAAGTGTAATATTTAGAAACGTTACAGGACCAACAATCCTTTCATCTCCTCTTTATACATCTTAACTAAACTGAAATGCAAGACATGCTCAAAAGCAGACAGAAGAGATCAGTACTTGTAATTTTCTGTCCTTGGTTTGGCTGCCTAAGACATTCATATTCCTACAAAATGGCACTTTCTGTGATGGAGGAGAGCCAGCATTTCAAAAACTAAAGAAATACATATACACAATTCCATTTGGGAAAACACAAGAAAAATGTCTGCTTATGATTTAATGAGTTGTGCTTATAGAAAGGAGGTTTCTAAATCTTTACCTCATTATTCTTCTATGAGAGATCCAGATATAAAGTTGAACCACTTGGAAATACAATAGACAAGGTCATGAATAACCATCGCTACAACATGCTAAAGGAATTAAGTCATATAAATGATAGCCAGTTCTGGAAAGATGAGCCTTGCAAATACAACTGTCTTTCTGTACTGGGGGTAACTGCTATTGTATACAGCGCCTTATAAAGACTCCCCAAGTGATGCTTCATGGCAGAGGAGCCTCTTTATTAATGAAGGAAGGAAATAGACATTTATAAAGCACTTAATAGAAGTGAAGCATGTGCAAAGTGCTTTGGGTATTTTACTTTATTTATTCAGTTCTTACAGAAACCTTGTGAGATAGGGTCTCATCCTCTATTTTACAAAAGAGAAAACTAAGGCTCAGAGAGGCTAAGTAACTTGTCCAAGTGATACAGCAAATAAGTGGTTAGTTGGGGATTCAAAACCAGGCTAAGCCTCTTTGCATAGAAATTGCTAAGATGGTTGACGGGTCCTCAAGTTTACTTAAACAAGACCAAGGAGATGGTTAATCACCTAAAGATACTCAGGGTAATCTCTGCTCTTGATACCCACTCTGGCACTGGCCTTTCTTCTCTGGAAGATAGCATGGGTCTACATTGTTTGAAGGAAATATCTAAAAACTGCCTAAAACATGGGGGTGTAAAAGCAGCAAACCCAAACTATTTAATGCCAGATTTTGAAGGCTATAGGGTGCTAACAGCTAAAACATTTTAAATGGGAGACAGATTTTAATCTCAAGTACAGAAAAGCACAAAAATATATACAAATCCCCAAAGCAGTCCCAAATGGTTTGTTAGCCACCAGTAGTGTCACAAAGATTATATCCCACCAGAGAAAATACCTTACCAAACTAGTTACACCCTTTAGAAATTCTAGAACAGCTGTCATGAAAGTTCTCCCTAGATTAGGAATGGCCTTCAAGGAAAAGAGGCTACAAAATGGACACTGATGTTTGTCTAGGCATTCACTATTCACTCATAAAAAAGGGTTAGAAAAAAATACTTTACACATCAGTGATATGCCCAGATCACTTGGGGTTTTTGTTTGTTTGTCTAGGATTCATGAGAATAAGGGAGTGTGGTGGGGAAGAGTTTGATGTGCATAAATAGGTACAGGATTCTGTCAGGATGATACTATTTTCCACCTCAAATTCAAGAACTTTAGGGTATCTAACCTATTCCCAACAGAATCTAATAGCAGCCTTTCAAAAAAAAAAGCCTAGTTTTACTTGATGTCTCATTAGTCCTTCATGGAAATCTATATGCTTCAGTTTTATTCTACTGTAACTAACATGACTTCATGGCCCTCCTTAATTTTCTATCAGGGAGCAACGTGGCAGTGGAAAGGATAATCCCAAAGCCATAAGGACTTGTGTCAATTATATTGAACTTGAAACATTACCTCCAAAATCAGTGGAAAGGATAATCCCAAAGCCATAAGGACTTGTGTCAATTATATTGAACTTGAAACATTACCTCCAAAACATATATTTAGGGTATCTGGTAAGGTGCAGAGCAAACACTCATTTTTCACTTGCAACTATTTTAAGTGACAACAAAACAGCATACTTACCAAAGTTTTGCTTTGTCTGTGCCAAGTATTGTTCCATTCATATGGCAGCTTCATAAAATATCCAGGGCTTCTGAGTTGGCATGCATGTGCCTACCTCATTACTTTGAAATCAGTGGCATTCTAATCTGGTGGACAATTTATCAATGAAGTCATCAGAATATGTTAGTCCATGTTTAGTAGTTCTTGTAGGAAGAAATGTTTGCCATGATACCTTTAAATGTAAGGAGTTTGAGTTTATACATCAAAATGCATTTCAGCAAGACTTCTTTATGATTGTCCCTCAATTCATTAAGTTATTTTTTAAACTCAAAATGACATAAATAAATTTCATCTATGAGATTAGATTGATCAGTTACTTCAAAATCATAACTTCTTTCTGTCTGGTATCTGTATAAGATGTCAAAAGATATCTATGTAAAAGATACCGCTTTAAAAATATTGATGTTACTAGAGTTTTATTGCTAGAGAAAAAAAAAGTCCTTCATTATTTACTCAAAACTATACCTGTAGTGTTGCAAAAATTATACTATATATACATATAGCTCTGTATAAGTTTAAGATATGAATGATGTACTTTTGTATATTGTAAGATGAATGCCACAACAGGTCTAGCTAACATCCATCATCTCATGTAGGTAAGAGGAAAAGAAAAAGAAAAAATGTTTTTTCTTTGTGATGAGAACTCTCATGATCTACTCTCTTCAACGACTTTCAAAAACACCATACAGCAAGTGTTAATCACAGTCATGTTGTACACTGTACACTTCTCTAAACCCAAATTTCCATTTCAATGCCATTTTCATCTCACTAAATCATGTACAAATGGACTTAAAAAAAAAAAAAGCAGAATAGCCTGGACTTGGTTTCCTAAGAACCTCCCTCCACTGCATGCATTACTGTTGCCACTCTTTTTTAAAATCATGAATGTGAATTACTTTCACGGCTCTTGACCATAGCCAAGGTAACCTGAAATTGCTTTCCATCCCTAATAATAATTATGTCCCATATAATTATTATTATTATTATCTTTTCTCCTCAATAGAAAAGTGACTGGACCAACCCAAAAAGGACAGGAGTCTTCTTCCTCTGATTCAGATTTCCTTCTGTTACAGATTGGATTTGAGGATCCTCCCCTCCAGGGACAGGCTGCAGCTTCAGGGAGTCAGAATGGAGCTGATTCTGAGCCAGCTCGCCATGTCTTCTCCTTTTCCTGGTTGAACTCCCTGAATGAATGATGTTCATTCCAATGCTGCCCATTTGTCTGCCTGGCTGAGATGCACACAGGCAGCTGGGAACCTAGATGAAATTAATATGATGCAGGTGATGAAAGGGACCTCTGAAAAGGATTTCTGCAAAACAAACAAAAAAAACAAACCCTTTAATTCTGCATAACTCTAATCCCACATTGAGGAAAAACAATATTTTGAGAAAGAGTTGCAGAAAGCACTGGAAAAAAGGAACTTAATCTTACACAAATCTTTTATTGTGTAGGAAACATTATGAAAGGTGTGTAGGTGTGGTACATGTGGGTGTGTCAGTAACAAGTGGCAAGGGTTGAAAAAAGTGGGCACTACACTTTTGTCTCTAATAAGCACTGGCTTGTGTTATTTTATCATAGCAGCTCATATCCTCTTTCCTCTTTAACAATGCAGGGGTCAGTGAAATTCAATGTTAATTCAGAAGTGACTGATTTATCAATAAATGGACAAAAGGTAAATCATTGACCAAAAGGATGGAATATTTCACAAAGTTTTTCTTTTCCACTATAGATGTCACTAGGTGTATACTCAGAAACGTTCTCTGACTCTGGTGACACTGTCACAGCCCAATGGGCTGAAAGCCCTAGGACATTTCTTGTGACATTTTTCTAATACTAGTTTTAGATATGCAGATATCAGACATTTTAATTGAAAAAGACTTTCCATTAGTAACTGTCTACTTTCTCTTGTATTCACTGAGGCACCAATTTGGTGAACTGTAGAACAACTGCATGTATTTAAATATATATGCACACACAATACACATTTAAAATATGTATATATATTTAAATCATGGTTTTTTTTTGTTCCACCATAATGCCTCCTTCAGAATGTAACTTTACTCTGTATGAACTCTTAAATAAATGGCATTTCTAACAACTGTCTTATAATAATTTATCCTGTTTCATATTATCTTATTAAACCAATAGTTAAAGAGTATTTAAAGTATCCCAAGGGAAGAGGCATCTTCATGCATCTAAATTAATTTTGAAGTATTAAACATTGGATTGAATTTTTTGATGTTACAACTAAACCACCAAAGATGAATGCATTGTAAAACTAACCATGTGTTGTTCAGTTTTAGAAGTGAATAGAGATAGTTTATATTCCTAGGAATTAAAGTGATTAGTCTTAGCATAAACATAAATGAGGAACATATTTGTGAAGTTATTAAAGTCAAAATATTCTTTATAAGAAAATGTTCCCAAGTGCTACTTTATGGCAAATGGATTTAATTGTTTTAAGTGGAGATGCTATCAAGTTTCTCCTATTAGAAGTAGGAATTGGAAAATAACTTAGCAAAAAAATATTTTATGATACTAATGTAGTAGCTTGATAAAGTGAGCCTTTCTCATAGAAAAAAAAAAAAGCAGCATGTTGGCCCTATAGTGTGAAGGAATGCCCTCCCTCACCCATTTTCTTTTCCTTTTCACTTTCTCTACCCTTCTCAATTATTTCACATCTTATATTTAATCAGGGTTGAATGTTATTTCCTTTATGAATCAATCTTCCACTTACAGAATTACCAGGTCTTAGAGCTGGAAGCAACTTCCCAAATTATTTAACACATCAGGGGATTAATCTAAGGTAGAGAGATAAGCCCAAGGCAATTGCACTAACTGTGTAAATCCACTAACATACATGTTTGTATTTTTAGTAGAAAATAAAATGCAATGGGTTTTGTTTTTTCTTGTGCTGAAGTCAGTTTGGAGGCAATCAGGAGCTGAGATTATTTCCCCTATAAGCAATGAAGAACAAAAATAAAGTCATGACTACCTTTGCAGCTTTTATTAAAAATATAAATATTCAACATTCTCTTACACAACAAAATTGACCAAGGATTGGAAAGATGTTTTATTACTGAAACATTTACAAGGAAAAGCTGATCCAAAAAGCTTACAGCTTTTGTCTCACCCACCCGAAAGGATAACATTCTCTTTGGTCAGACCACAACAAAATCATCTGGGCGACTTCTTTCTCCTTCTTCAGAACGTTTCCTCCCTGTCTTTAAAACACCATTAAAGACACCTGGAAATGGAAACTAAAAGTAGACAATACAAATAACATTTTGGTATTGTTACTGCACGTGAATACACTTTGTGCATGCTAATTAAGGAGGATAGGCGCTCTTGCTGCACGTCTTCTATGCTTCAAGCTATGTAAAAATAAACAAATGGTATCAGAGCAACGTTACGGCACAGAATACTGTATTAATTTTACTTTTTTAAATAATTTTTTTGTGCTAAATACAGAATCTTTTTTGCCAAACCCACCGTTTCATTTCCCAATAATCTCCATCAGTTTCCTGTTGCTGTGAGCTTGCTGAGCTAACTGCTCGGCCCTGGCCATTTCCAAGACTTCTCGGAGGAGGTGGAAGGTGAGATCCAGCGAGATGGGAGGTTCCTCCGATCGCCTCTCCCTCTCCAGCGTCTCCGGACGGCCGCCGAGGGCTTGCTCGGCGAGGCGCTCCGCGGGACCCGCAGGGCTGTCGGGCTGGCGCCGAGGCAGCGGCAGCTGCTGCAGCAACGCGCGGAAAAAGTTGGCGACCGCCTCGTCCGGCGAAAGGCGGCTGCCGCCGCCTCCAGCGAGAAGAGAAGGGGCGGGCGAGAGGGGAGCAGAGGGGCTCTTGTTGAGGTTACCCAGGCGGAGGAAATATTCCTCCCCCATACGGAGCAGGACGGGCCGAGCCTGCGCCTGTTGGGGCTGCTGGGGCTGCGCCGGCGCCTGGAAGAAATCCAGGGGCTGCAGGGGCTGCTGAGCCTGCCGGGCGCCCGGGACGGACCCCCGGCTGAAGAGGGCACTGCATGGCGAGCAGGGCAGGAGAGCCGCTAGCAGGACGCCCACGGACACGAGCAGCGGCAGCCGCATGTTAGGGGCGCTCGCTGCAGCACAGAGGGGGGCAGAGAGCGGAATGAGAGAAGGGAAGAGATAAAGAAAGAGTTGGTCAGAGTTTAGCTCAACTGGGAGGTGCCCTCGGGGGTCTTCCTACGTGACACCACAGACGCATCTCGCGAGTTGGGGGTGGGCGCTGTCCGCGGTGCTGACGCGCCGGAACTATGACTTCTGTTAGACTTGGCGTGAGAAGGGGGTGCAGAAAAGAGGACACCTGCAGGGCTCGGCGCGGAATCTCAGCCCCTGGCCAGGCCTGCGTGACCCTTCTCCTTCCGTTACCCCCAGAGTGATGGTCCCTGAGTCCCCTAACAATTCCCAGAACTGATTCCCCGAGCCCTAGAGGAGACCTACAAATTTAAGCTCTCACCCACTCTTAACACCCGCTCCCCCTTTCCGGATGTTTCACGTTCTCCTCCTAACTGAGAACTGCTGCCTCTTCCTCCTCTGACTCCATCTGTGCCCTTGCATCCTTCTGTCGCGGCGGGGAGAGAGGGTCGGGATCGATTCTAAATACAGAATCTTTTTTGCCAAACCCACCGTTTCATTTCCCAATAATCTCCATCAGTTTCCTGTTGCTGTGAGCTTGCTGAGCTAACTGCTCGGCCCTGGCCATTTCCAAGACTTCTCGGAGGAGGTGGAAGGTGAGATCCAGCGAGATGGGAGGTTCCTCCGATCGCCTCTCCCTCTCCAGCGTCTCCGGACGGCCGCCGAGGGCTTTCTCGGCGAGGCGCTCCGCGGGACCCGCAGGGCTGTCGGGCTGGCGCCGAGGCAGCGGCAGCTGCTGCAGCAACGCGCGGAAAAAGTTGGCGACCGCCTCGTCCGGCGAAAGGCGGCTGCCGCCGCCTCCAGCGAGAAGAGAAGGGGCGGGCGAGAGGGGAGCAGAGGGGCTCTTGTTGAGGTTACCCAGGCGGAGGAAATATTCCTCCCCCATACGGAGCAGGACGGGCCGAGCCTGCGCCTGTTGGGGCTGCTGGGGCTGCGCCGGCGCCTGGAAGAAATCCAGGGGCTGCAGGGGCTGCTGAGCCTGCCGGGCGCCCGGGACGGACCCCCGGCTGAAGAGGGCACTGCATGGCGAGCAGGGCAGGAGAGCCGCTAGCAGGACGCCCACGGACACGAGCAGCGGCAGCCGCATGTTAGGGGCGCTCGCTGCAGCACAGAGGGGGGCAGAGAGCGGAATGAGAGAAGGGAAGAGATAAAGAAAGAGTTGGTCAGAGTTTAGCTCAACTGGGAGGTGCCCTCGGGGGTCTTCCTACGTGACACCACAGACGCATCTCGCGAGTTGGGGGTGGGCGCTGTCCGCGGTGCTGACGCGCCGGAACTATGACTTCTGTTAGACTTGGCGTGAGAAGGGGGTGCAGAAAAGAGGACACCTGCAGGGCTCGGCGCGGAATCTCAGCCCCTGGCCAGGCCTGCGTGACCCTTTTCCTTCCGTTACCCCCAGAGTGATGGTCCCTGAGTCCCCTAACAATTCCCAGAACTGATTCCCCGAGCCCTAGAGGAGACCTACAAATTTAAGCTCTCACCCACTCTTAACACCCGCTCCCCCTTTCCGGATGTTTCACGTTCTCCTCCTAACTGAGAACTGCTGCCTCTTCCTCCTCTGACTCCATCTGTGCCCTTGCATCCTTCTCTCGCGGCGGGGAGAGAGGGTCGGGATCGATGGGGGGCTTGTATATAAAGCCAGCGAGGAGTAACTGGCAGTTTGGATACGATGCGCAGCCGTCTAAGTTTGCTTTTGCCACATTCCCGCTACTATCTGAATCTTGATGCGCAGTCAGCATACACACACACACGCACGCACGCACGCACACATAATCACTCACACACTCGCACACATCCGCACAGAGACAGCCGGCTCTGCTGCGCACACCATGGCAGCTCAAGCAAGGCAAAGTTGAAGGCGCATGTCTGTCTAGGGGCTCCCTACCTTCGGAGGCGCTTCTGCAGGTGAGCAGGCGCTGCCGCCTCTCTGTAGAGGAATGTCTCCCGGGCTTTTTCAGGATATTCCTTCCCCTCTCCTTTCTGTCCCCACTCTCTTTCTCTTCCCCTCTTCGCTTTCCCTTCCGTCTCTTAATGGACTTGGGCTCTGAGTTTTCCACACCAGAGCCTGGAGTGGGATTTTATAGCGTCGACCCTCTTCAGAAACCACGCAGCATTTGCCTAATAAGCTGACGCTCTCTTGACAGCTCGATTGCGTGCTAGTTCTGCTCCTGCATAAATCATAGGGCCCTGCCAGGGAACGAGGGGAAGAGTTTTGCTATCTCAACACTGAATCTCACATCCAATTATATCAACAGATATTTATCGCCTCCTTGGTGACGTCAATGAGCCCCAAAATGGAAGGACTTCTTATGACTTGTCCATTGACAAAAATTCTTGAATGAGATTCCCCAAGTGTGAAAACATACTGACCTCTTACAATGAAAGGCCAAACTGAGGGTCGGAAAAAAGCGAATGGGAGGGGAGAGGAAGGGAAAGTGCCAGGCATGAGGTCTATCAATGTACAATCCTGCGGGGAGGGCAGCAACCAGTTGCAGTGGGTGGATGTGGATCACTGTCCTCCCTCTCCCACCTAATTTCTCTGACCAGTTGTCTTGGGCAACACCTCAGTATCTGAAAAATACCCCTTTGCTAGAGACAAAGTGTCCCATCACCTTTCACAAGAATGAAGAAAGAGAAGATGAAAGTGCAGCTTTTAAGCCTCTTCTGCTTTTTCATTCCAAGAACAGATAAAGGAACCATCAGTCTGCAGAGGCAAGACCAGCAAGTCTAAGAAAAGCAGCTTAAGTTTTTTAAATGATGACAAGAGCTACTTCCAGATGCAGAGGTACAAACCAAGTTCTGTCAGGGATGCAAAAAGATTTTAAATTCTCCCAGAAACTAGCAATTCCTCCTCTGTCTTTCTCAGAATCTGAAATTAGTTGTGGAATTTTCTATTCCCAAATTAGAGAGAGAAAGGACCAGTAAAAGGTGCATGAGTTAAATAATCTTTAGTCTATGCAGTGCAAACCCAAAGAGAGAAGTATCTATTTCTAACGTCCTATTCTATATTGGAAAAGGTTCACACTGCCAGATAACAAGGCTGAATCCATCAGTTGCATGCTTTCATTGATGAATAGTAAGACTGTGAAAGGGTAACCTCCTTCATTTTATTTCCAAATACTATCAATACACTATAGTATCCATCTCAGGGGCACCCAGGTTTTTGTTGTTGTTTTATAATTTACTTTTCCAAATTCAATGTGGTCCATGGAAGCCTAATAAGTAAATGCTCTCTGGCATTACTACAGAATGAAATACTAAGCCTATGAAACCACAAATTTCAAGTGAATTTGACACTGTCATATAGGTAGGAGGCAATTACCTCTAATTTTTCAATTCAAAATGGAATTCCAAACTCTGGTGTCTGTGATTTAATTCAGTTTTTAGATAACCATCAGAGTTGTTTGTCAGAAACTTCCTGTTCCTCATTTCTGGTTACCTATGCTGCTTCCTTTGCAGCTAACATGACAAATGACACAATATATATTTCAACCCCTATTTTGGGTCTATACTAATTCACAACTACTCTTAGAAACAAAAGGAAAGTAAAAAGAGAAATGCTTAACAGTTTCCAGAGAATTCAGCTCAAGGTTGGATCACTATGATATGGAACATAATTTTGATATAAGAACAGAGAAAGGAGCGTGTCTTCTGGGAAAGATGTGAGTTAATAGAAGATCATGATTGTGGAAAAACGTTGAGCTTGTAGAGGAAAGCTGTTTTATGTTGGCAGGGGACATACAGAACCTTAGGTTTCATTATCATGGGCTTTTTTTCCCCTTCATGTTGGAATGGGTCTCAAGTTCTTGCTTACTTTCTTGCATGACTCTTTCTCTGTCTCCACTGGCAGATTTCAGCTTGGGTGTCAATCTGGAGATGAAGTAGATTTGGAAGGGGGAAATTCAGGTAAATGGATATGGAAGAAGAACTAGAAAGGGATGAGACCATGAGTTTAGGTGCAAAGGCCTGGGAAATTTCTCCAGAGAAGACACAATGTGTTTTGGGCTCTAACCCTATACCCCTTCAGATCTCTCACTTATTGGGCCATATGGAGGATGTTCTTTTGGTATAGTTCCCTCATCACTGTTGCATCCTTGCTGTGAAGTTTTCCTACAGTAGGTAGTTGATGGGGACACAGTGGTTCTGACTAGAGGTGAGGAACAGGAGGCCTGGATCCCATAGAAGGAGGAACCATGCAGAGTAGTCCTTACCCAGTGCAATTTATCTGAAAGTTAGATTTCATCAAATCACTTAATGCTCACAATAGAAATTACATGAAGAGATCATTTGTTTTAGATAAGAAACAAAGAGGTTAAATTACTTACCTGAAGTCATTCAGCTAGTTAGTGGTAAAGTCAGAAATAGAACCCGTTCTTTTGACTACCCCTGTATCATTTCCATAACATAACAATACCCTTTAAATTTCCTTTTCCAGGAGAGACACACAAATTGAAGTGAGAAGATGAATTTAAATAAAGCGACATATTCACTAATCCTGGGGCATTTTTATTCAGACTTTCTTTATATTGATAAATATCTTAAAGCATGATTCTCTGTACATGCTGCTGCCCCGGCGCTTGATTTTAAGTCTCTGGGTGCACACACTGCAATTTACCTTTCAGCTGAATCTTGTAACTATAACATGAAGTTTTTAATGCATTGCCAACCAACTTAAGATGCATTGATTTGATTTTCCACCTTAGTTCACCTTAAAGAAGAAAGATCTTTGATAAAGTTATAGAGTAATGTGGTTCTCAAAAACAATAATAAAAATGTGTGATGGAGAAATAACACAATGCAGAGGATTTATATATGTAATAAACTAAATATCCAAGTCCATAAAAAATCACCACTGACAGATTTGATCTTACATGTAGGACTAATTTTTTGAAAGCAGTAATTGGAGAACCAATTTAAATACTTTTAGAATCTAGAAACATAATCCAAGAAACAAGGGCACAAAAACAGAGATTATTCCACATTTTAAACCAAATTTTTCAATAAAACCATAATATACATTATAGTTGAATTTTACTGGCACAGCAGTCTAATGCATAAAGTAATAGTGGAAGTAATAAGTAACTGTTGGTCTTATTCCTGTCATCTCCCTGCACTCTCAAAGAGTATCCCAACATGTGTGCCCAATAACAAAATTCAGGGCAAATACACACAGTCTCCAAGTTTGCTAACTAAAACATTTGTTGAAACAAATCTACCATCTCCAATGAGAGCCTTTAAAAATGTCTAGGATAAGGCTAGGAAAAGGATCTCAAAGAGCACAAATATCTATCTGCTTCACCAGTAATAGTAACTTTTATTGAAATCCCATCTGATTATCAAAGCCATTCATCCTCCTTGTAGAAAACTTGGAAAAATAAGAAAAGTATACAGAAAATTACAAAACTCCTCAAATTCCAGAATCTAAAGATAACCTCAGTTAATAATTTGTTGTTTCTCTTAAGAATTTTTCCTGCGTTCGTACATTTTATGTAATGGAGACAACACTGTATTCCTAATTTTGGATCTCTGTTTTAAAAAAAAAACAAAAAAACCTCTTACTTAAAACTTAAAGATAGTTGGTCCAAGGAATCCTTCCCAAATTCCTTAATTAGGTTTAGGAACTGTGCTGTATGTTCTAACATCATTAATATCCTCCATCGTGAAACTCACATTTTTAATAATTACTGGTGAAATATTTATCTTCCTTGCTGGACTGTAAACTGCATAGCAGAAACTTGTCTTTTTAAACCACCATATTCATTATTCCAACCTCTAGCCCAGTGTCAAAACACAGTAGATATACAATAAGCCTTGGAAAACATTAATTATAGAAAAGTTGATGAATGAATGAATCATAGAAAAATCAATAGCTACCATCAATGTATAACTGGATAAGATTTTATAACAAAAATTTTATAATCTACTTTTTTCCACTTAAAATAATACCTCAAACATTTTCTTATTACCAAGTGACATCTATTTTATTGACTGTATAGCATTCTGTCACGGAGATGTATTCTATTTCTATTTTGAACAGTTTCTATTCATTCCTCATCATTGATCACCATCCTAATAACCTGCTTTTTAGTTTTTTCCCTACCTTTAAGTAATATATCCATAGAATCATTTCCTGATACTTCAGATATAAACAATACCTCTTAACTCCCCAAACTGTAAAATAAGAATATTAGTATCTCTTCAGCTTTTCATACAACCTCCTGCATCTTGATCTCCCAAACACTCTCATCTCTACTTATCAATGCTAATATTTTTATAACAATAGTTGAGTCTTCTGTGCTTTGACTAAAAATTTATCTAAAAGTTAAAAATCAATATAGTTTTTATTTATTGACTATGTAAAAATTGTTTGCTGTAGAACAAAGTCACTGACTCTGGTTATATTTCCTTTCCTGTTTTTTACTTACAATTACCAATTGCCTTTTTTATATTCATAGTCTAGTTTTTTCTAGAATTACTGTTTGTTCCCAATTTTTTTCAGATTTTCAATCATGACAAGTAATCAAGCCCTCCCCCTCTTTTTAAGACCCTTCCCCTTGAGCACTCTAACCTGCTGCTTTCAGACTGGTCACTATGTAAATCTGATGCACAACTGTCTTCCTGGGACTTCTCTTTTTCTGTTTTTTTTCTGAACTGAATTCAGTCTGGAATCACATGATTTATTCCTTCTGGATTTCTCGATTTTAAACTTATTTTGCTAGAGCATATCCACAGATGACTTTCTAAGAAAGGATATATCGTAAGTAAATTTGCTGAATCTTTGCACTTCTGAAAATGGCTTTATTTTACCAGGCAGTTTGGAATGATATTTTAGCAAGGTATACAATTCCAGGTTGAACATAGTCTTCCTCCAGAACTGTGAAAGTATCATTCCCTTTATCATCTAATGCTGCTGACAAGAAATCCAATGTCATTCTGATTCTAATTTCTTTATAGGATCTATTTGGGTTTCTTTCTTCTCTTATTCTCACTTGAAGATTTTAAATCACCTCTTTGTTGTTGATGTTCTGAAATTTTACAGTGGCGTTGGATCTTTTTTCATCTTATTTGGAGAGACTCTTCCTCTTCAAGTGTAGAAAAATCTCTTGCGTTATTTCTATGATAATTTCCTCCATTTTATCTCTTCTTTTTTT